GCCCAGTAAGTTCTTTATGTGAAAATGAAATCAAATGGCTTGTGAAAATTTTAAAGTTTTCTTTTAACTTGGAGTACTTTGGATAAATTCTAGGATCACTGAGGGGTCTCACACAGTCTGAACATATTCTTATACTTCAGCAGTCAGTACATTCCCTCTGACCAGCAGCTTTGCTGGACATTGTAGAGTGCCTTTTCAGCTGGCCTTTGCAGAAGCGTGTGTGGACGTCCATCCTGGCTGGATGTTTGGGTGACAAGGCCTCTCTGCCATACTGTACTTCCAGGTGATGACTCATCTCCATGTGATTGAAGAACGAAGGAACCAAAGCCTCTCTCTGCTCTACAAAGTACCTTATGTAGCCCAAGAAATCCAAGAGGAAATTGGTGGGTGCTGACTGTGTTTGTGTTGAGGTCAGATGGGACTTCTTGCTGAGGCTAGAGAGTGACAGCCATGCTAGATTAGAGAAATAGCTCAAGTAATGCCGTAAAGCTGGGCATCAGCACACTATAGTTTCAGAAGTCTGGAATTCACTGGAGCTTATGTGGCAAGGTCAAGTACTGGCTCTGATCCACAGAGCCTTGAGTTTCATTGACCTTCACTCTGTTACCGGAAGAAAAATCTAGGGTGTGAAATTGCAAGGGACTGGGGGAGTTTCCTGTTATCCTTTCCCTCCTTGATTGCTGATGTATTTCAGGGTATTTATTTTACACACATTCTCACGTCCCCTCCCTCTTCTGGTCTCTATCTTCTATGTTTATTCAATAAATATTTATCGTGTCTGCTCTGTGTCACAGAGTAAAATGGTGCTCATGCAGACAATATCTCCTGGAGCGCATGTTCTAGTAGGAGAGAAACAGACAGAAGAACAAGTATTACAAGTGGATGAGAGCTGTGTAGAGAGGTAGAACTAGGGTGGGATGGTGGAGAGTGGCTGGGTGGTCAGGGAGACTGTGTCAGGGATAGTAAACTGAGACCACAAGGGGGAAAAACTTGGTTACTATAGGCATGGCTACTGCAGAGGCCTGAAGTTTAAATCAAGTGGCAGGCACATGTAAGTAGATCAAGGAGCCAAAACAGGGAGAAATGAGGCCAAAAGAAGTAGGCAGAAGCCAATTTGTTAAAAGATTTTTAGCAAAATGAAGGAGTTTGTATTTTAATCCAGGATAATGGAAAGCTGTTAGAGGCTTTTAAATTAGTGAGTGACTAGATCTGGATTATGCTTTTAAAAAGAACATGAATTTTAAAAAAATTAATTGGCTGCTATATGGAGAGTTGATTAAAATTGGAAACCACCCAGGAAGCAATTGTAAAAATCCAGGAGAGGGTGGTTGTGTGCACTAAGATGGAAAAGGAGGACAGGGAGACGTGGGTGGTCTTCAGGATACGGTTCAGAATAAGGTGAACAGGATATGCTGTGGGTCAGATGGGAGAGTAAGGGGAAGACGAANAGATACCCTAAGTACAAGACTTGGCTTCTGCAAAGTTACTATTTTTAAAATATCTTTTCCATAGTTTTGTATATTAAGTACTTTATACTTAAATAGTTTCTGGAAGTTTAGGAATGCATGAGTATGTTGAAGTGAAGTCAGTTTCTATCAGTTTACTTCTGGTTTAGGGTACCGCTGGAATTAGTATTGGAAACCCTTTTTAAGGCAAATATATCAAGCAGATCTTAAAAATTGGTTTCTTTTGTTTTGTACATTATAGTTTTTATTTAGCAGACACGTACATTCCTGGATTTTGTCTCATGCTGGGTCCAGCTTTTTTCTTTACAGTCGTCTATCAAGGCTTGTTTCTGGACCCTCTTTCTAATTCAGTATTGTCCATATATTAACTTGAGTTTTACTCTCTTCTATTGATTGAAAATGAACTTGCCTACAAGACTGCTAGCCCCCTTTTTAAATCAGGAAGTCTAATAATTCAGCCTATTAGTTTTCCTAACGGACTTTGTAATGATATAACTAAGCTTACTTTGTTTCCTCCCATATTATAAATACAGCACTTGTAAGCGTGGGTACTGGCCCATCATCCCAGCCTCTTGTCGCATGTGTGTTATGATCGGAAGGAAATCTGCCCAACAGGCCTAGGAAAATTGCAGTAAAGTTGTTATTGCTCCATTTGTTGAGTGGAAGTTTATGTGCTTCCTGTTCACCTGCCAAACTCTGTACTAGCATCTGATGATAGAAAGTTGAATCAATCCCTGAGTACCCTTGAGAAGCAGAGTTAATTCACTGTAAAGATGAACAATAATTGTCCTTAAACATCAGAGTTCACTTTAGCATTTGGATGTTGGGAGATATGAAAGCACTTGGGCTCCTATAGGGTGGGAAGAATGTGGAAAGGGAACGGGTCTGGGACCATAGGGAGGATCTGGTGTGGGCCTGGAGCTCAGTGGTTTCCTTTAGGCTGGATGGAGTAGAAGAGAAGGAGAAAAGGCCAAGAATCTCCTAGAATGGCTCCCAGGAAGCTTAGGTGGAACAATGTGTGGTTCTTGACAAGTGAGGTTTTTCAGGTCTACTTGATTGTAAAAAATGTAATTTAAATTTCCATGTGTGTATAAAAACTAGACTATTGTATAGTATTTTACAGCAGGGGGGAAAAAAAGGCCTGTGCTGTGTGGTTAAGAGTAGAAGGAGAAGGGCCGCCAAGTGGCGCGTGGGTTAAGAGTTGGCTTGGGACACCAGCTCTGAGCAGCAGGGCCCCGGTTCAGATCCCACGTTGAGGGCCAG